TCAAAATATACAGTGAATGTTTACACATTTAAAAATTTATTACAGTCAGACATACTGCTATTAATCTCCCTCAAATACTCTCCCCGACGTTGAACACACTTGTGTCATTATTCCTGCCACTTTCTGAAGCAGTTCTGGAAGTTCTCTTTCCTGCGCATCTTTACAAAGTGTGATCCAAAACAGTAAGGGCTGCCGCTAAGTGCCATCCAATGGAAAGGCAAGCTTGTAAAAACATTACGGTGTGTCTTCATCCATCTCATTCACCATATCTGTTAACATGTCACTTCTAACTTTTCCCCAAAGTCTAAATGACCATGAATAATAAGGGGGCCCAGGCATGGTGGCCCATGCCTGTAATCCCTGAAAAGGCTGAGGTAGGAGGATTATTGCAAGTTCAAGGCCAGTTTGGGCTGCATAATGAGTTCAAGGCCAGCCTGAACTGCCTAGCAAGACTCTGTCACACACACATGCAAACACGTACACACACACACTCACACACACACGACTGTGGAAAGTAAATATTTTCCATTGATTCAAGACATCAAGGCATCCCTGACCATGCAACTAAAAACACTCACAAAAAGGACTTCCAGAATGGATTTAGAAAGTGGCAAGAACCAGATAAGTGTGTTTGAAGGTAGGGGAAGTGTTTTGAGGGGGGTTAACAGCGATGTGCCTTTTACTGTAATAAATTTTTTTACATTTAAACATTCGATTTATTTCTGATCACTCCTTGCACACGAAGGGAGCAAGTGAAGTGGGGGGCAGGGGCCTTAGACCATTTCCTGGGGTTTCTATAACAAAGTGCCACGGACTAGAGGGCTGAGAACAACAGAAAGTTACATTCTCACAACTCTGGAGGCTGGAAATCCAAGTCAAGGCACCAGCAGGGTTGGTTCCAGCTTTGGAGGGCGGCCGTGCAGGAGAATCAGCAACATACCCCTCCGTGTTGGGGTGGTTGCTGGCTGTCTGCAGCATCCCTTGGCTTGGAGATAGATGTATCACCCAGTCCTCCACCTCAACACAGCATCCCACTACTGTTCTGTCTCTTCATATGCTATTCTCATGAGGACACCTGTCACATTGTATTAGGGGGCTTTACTACATCATGACTGCATTCAACTGCAAGGACCCAATTTCCAAATAAGGTTGTGTCCAAAGGTACAGGAGGTTAGGACTTCAACTCATTGGAAGGGGACATGATGCAACCTCTAAGGGGCCTCTGTACCCTTCTTGCCCAGTAACATGCATCCCCAGTGACTAACCAGGCCTTGTGATAAGAGCAGGCCCTGATGGATAAGATGAAACCACAGAATCACTGGGCTGTGATGGGAGAGGAGGCCCCCAAAGGGGAGGCCTAAGATTTTTTTTTCCCCTATGACCACATGAATTTTCTGGAGAGAAAATGACCTCACAGACAAGACATCCATATGTAACATGACAGGAGGCGCTTGTCACGGAAGAGAGAAGGTATTGGTGATGAGCTGCCTCAGTATTTTCTATTGTGATCAGCCTGTCCCTTCATTCAAGTCACAGGCTACAGGGAGCTCAGGTTTGGCCACTGGAAGTACAGTTCGCACCTAGCACTGTGTAACATTCCAGAAAGCCAGTGGCAGAGAAGGGAGTGGTTTCCATTTTATAGCCACAATTATGTGACTATAAAAGGGACTCTGTTGCTTTCAGGAGAAAACTTGACACCCAGGTGAATGCCAAAGGCATCTCCTGGCCTCCCTAAGTGACACACACACACACACACACACACACACACTGCACCATAATGATGAGTGTGGCAAGGTGACACAGAAACTAATGGGAATCTCCCAATAGCCAAAGATGAGGAATGATTAGAACAACAAAATAAAGTATTATAGTATTGCACTATAGCCCAGAATACATAATAAATATTCACAAGTTCATACTGATATAGTTAAGCAATTGACTAAAGATGCCTGGAAAAATAAATCTGTGAAGCATTCCAAAGACATTTATAGACACCCACATCTTAAGTGTGGGCTGCACATGGTGACTTCCTTCCAATGATTAAAGTAAGAAGAAAGGGAACGAGTACCTCACATATCACAAGAAAACAGACACATTCCAAATGAGAAACCATCTACAAAATCCCTGGCCAGTACCCCTTAAAACTGACAAAATTCCTCAAAACTGACTAGATCATCAGAAACAAGGACAGTCTGAGAAACTGTCGCAGCCCAGAGAAGCTCAAGAAGCCATTATGATTAAATATGGTCTTCTGGTTGGAATCTTGGATCAGAAAGAATATGTTATGTAGAAACTGAGAGAATCTAAGTAAGGATTATAGTTAATAATAATGTATTGATATTGATTCATAATTGTTACAAATGTATCATATTAATATAAGATCTCAGCAATAGGGTGGGTGTGGGCTATATGGTATTACGGTTTGTGTCTAGAAGATTCCCCTCCAAAGCCTCATGCAGTCATAAATGGGGCCTTTCGGAGGTGGCTGGATCTCAAATGTGCGATTTTGGGATCAAGGATATGATGTTGTAATTGATTCATAGTCCAATGTTAGTATTAAGGGTGCCCTAGGTGTGAATGCTGCCCACTGATAGAACATAAGGGACAGAAAGAGGGCTGCTGTTGTCACCTGCTGCTTTTGCTGCCTTCTGCCTGCCATCAACTGTTTCTCCTCTCTAATGCTTCTCTGCGATGGCTCCCTGCCTTAGAGCCAGCTGATTATGGACTGAAACCTCTACAAACTGTGAGCCAAAATAAACCTTTCCTCGTCTAACTTTAAATGTTGGGTATTTTGTCTCAGCAACAATAAAAATAAATAAGATATGTGGGAACTCTCTACTATCTTTACAATGTTCTACGTTGTAAAAGTTAAAAATGTATATGCAGTAGTAAAACAATTGCAATATCAACTGTTGTGCATCAAGTTTTCAGATTTGGGGAGTAGCTTCATGGATTTCTATTTTATTCCACTGGCCATTTTTTCTAACTTTGTACTATGATTATGCTGTTTTTATTCTAACACTTTTTTGGAAACAGGGTCTTGTTCTGTAGTCCAAGCTAAAACTAGCTCAAACTGCCTCAAACTCATGATCCTCCTGCTCCAGCCTCCAGAGTGCTGGCATTAGAAGCATGAACACCACACCCAGCTTCTAATACATTTCTAATACCTAGTACTCAGAAGGACACTTCACCCACTTTGTCTTCTTCAAGGGTTTTTAGATATTCTTGGACCTCTCCATTTCCATATGAAATTTAAAATTAGCATATTAAATTTCCTTTAAAAGTAAACAAAAATTGGGGAGAAAAAATACATTGCCATCCAGATGTCCCTCAGGGCCCACAAAATCAATTACATATAAGCCTGTCAGCCTGGCATCCGACATTTTGACATTAATTGACTTTTTCTTCTGCATCCCTGGGCTCCCCCCACAAACTCTCTGGGCTCCAGGTGAACTGGAAAACTTGCTGTTTTCAAGCTGACTTTGGATTTCTCTTGTTCTCACTTTGGCTCCTAGTGTGTCCTCTACTAGAACACCACTGACCTCTACCTGTGCAATTTTGTAGCATCTTCTACCTGCCACCTCCCCTGTGAAGCCTTCTCAGATGCCTGCTATCTGAAAGAATGCCACTGAAACTGAAAGTACTCAGAGTCCCTTCCCAGACAAGGTTTTCTCAAGGCCATGCATTTTAACCCTCTTTGTCATGACCCTCCAGTCCTCCCTATTATGGATATTGTACATAATAAGGGCTTATTAGGTATTTGGAAATTCACTATGGTCCACAGGTCAGTTCTTGGCACCAGTATACACCCGTCTTCACAGGTAGCAGCAACACCACCATCAGGCACTGTTCTGAACATTTACAATGTGCCATGTCCTGTAATCTCTCAAGATGTCAACTATAAGTCCTATTTATCAGCCCACATTAGAGCCAGACAGCAATGAAGCTGAGAGCAATGAAGGACTTTGCTTGATGTCACAAAGCAAATGGCAGAGCCGAGCTCAAAGCCAAAGCCCTTTCTCTCTCTAAAGCACCTCCAGTCTACTACACAGTTGCAGATGATGATGTGCTGGTCCATCTCCCAGCAGCCCTGCACCTGCTGTGTCAGGGTTTCTTCCGGGAAAAGGATATGCTGGCTTCAGCATGTGGTTGGGCAGGTGTAAAGCATCGGGCACTGTGTCCTGTCCTTAACAGCACTCAGTAAATGCTAGTAATCCAGTAAGCTCACCCATTTTCCTCTCCTTCCCTCTGCTCCCTCCCTGCTCCACTGAGCTCTTCTTCACTCACCTTATTCCGGTTTGTCAAAAGACAAGGCCAGTGGACCGAACAGAGCAGATGTCAGTTTTTACCATCATAGAACATTCTGCAGCCCCGGCATTACTTGAGAACTTTTTAAAAATGCAGGATCTGAGCAGGAGATGTAGCTCAGTGGTAGAGTGCTTGCCTAGCACCTGGATTTGATTATTTGATGCTCAGAACTGACAGAGAGAGGGAGAGAGAGAGAGAGAGAGAGAGAGAGAGAGAGAGAG